TTCCCTTCCTCCTATCCTTCTCTGCCTCCAGTAATTAATATTCTACTCTCTATTTCTATAAGATCAACTTTTTAAGCTTCCAAATATGAGTGATAACATGTCATATTTATCTTTTTGTGCTAAGCTTATTTTATTTAACATAATGTCATCCAAACTCATTACTATTGCAATGAAAGAAAGAGGTGGTTTAGAGGTGGCTTAGCCTCAAAGATGAAAGGGAACCTTGGCTACTCACCCCCAGAGCAAGACACACTCCAGCCATAGTACCAATACTAAGATGGTGTAGTGGAGTAGCTGTGTAAGCCACAGTGTCTACTCCTCTGGAAAGATCACAGCTATGTGGACTTCAGGAAACTCCCCTAGCTGGGTTTTGTGTCTGTGAGGACTACAAAGGGACTCCACTGGTAAGGTCTGTAGGTGTCCAAGGAGTTGATGTGGACTGCTGGGAACTTCTTGCTTTATTTCCTCACTGTAGAAAGAAGTTCCTCCTTGTTCCCAGCTGATTCCAGTTGGGGAATGAGATGGTTCAGGCCTGGCATTTTCTTGTATTCTTTACATGGCTCTCCCAAGTTTGTTATTCCTCTGGTACACTCCTGCACTCTCTCTTCATTATGTTTTCATGTGGCTGTAAGTTATAGCTGCAGGTCTAGTGATAATGAGCTAACTCAACTTTTATTTATCTGGAAATGTCTTAATGTCTCCCTCACTTTTAAAGGACAGTTTTGCCAAATACAGGATTCTTGGACAATAGCTTTGCTTTTTTTACTTTTAGCATTTTGAATATATTGATCCACTGTCTTCTAATCTCAAAGTTTTTGATGAAAAATCTGCTGATGATCTTATTGAGTATCTCTTGTGTGTAATAATTGCTTTTCTCTTTCTGATATCAAGATTCTTTCTTTGTCTTTCAAAGATTGATTATAATGTGTTTTTGTGTGAGTCTTTGTCAGTTCATTTTTTCTTGGACTTTGTTAAGCTTCTTGGATGTTTATGTTTACATCTTCCCTCAAATTTATAAAGTTTTCTTTCTTCTTTCCTTTCCCTCCCTCCCTCCCTCCCTTCCTCTCTCTCTCTCTCTCTCTCTCTTTCTTTCTTTCTTTCTTTCTTCTTTCTTTTTTTTTGAGATGGAGTCTCCACTTTGTCACCTGGGCTGGGGTGCAGTGGTGCAATCTTGGTTCACTGCCACCTCTGCCTCCCAGGTTTAAGCAATTCTCCTGCCTCAGTCTCCCAAGTAGCTGGGACTACAGGTGCCTGCCACCATGTCCAGCTAATTTTTGTATTTTCTTTTTAGTAGAGGTGGAGGTTTCATCATATTGGCTAGGCTGGTCTCAAACTTCTGACCTTGTGATCCACCTGCCTTGGCCTCCCAAAGTGCTGGGATTATAGGTGTAAGCCACCGCACCCAGCCCTGTTATTTCTTTAAATATACTCTCTGCTCATTTCTTTCTCTCTCTTTTTTTCTTCTGGAATTCTCACATTGTATATGTTGGTCCACTTGAAGGTGTCCTATAGGTCCCTTAGGCTCTGTTCAGTTTTCTTCAATGTTTTTTCTTTCTGTTCTTTACACTAATAATTTTCATTTTCTTTTCTCAGATTTACTGATTCTTTCTTCAGTCTGCTCAAATCTGCTTTTGAATCCCTCCAGTTAATTTTTCATTTCAGTTATTGTACTTCTTAACTCTAAAATTTCTTTTTTCCCCTTAGGTTTTCTACATTTCTATTTATATTTCCATTTTGGTCATATGTAATTTTCTTTTCTCCACCTCTCTCTTAGTTCCATTAGCATCTTTAAGGTAGTTTTAAGGTGTTTGTCTACTATACCTGCCATGTGTTCTTTTTCAGAAAACATGGTTTATTTTTATTCTTTGAATGGCCCATAATTTCCTGTTCTTTGTATGCCTTCTGATTTTTTTTTTTTTTTTTTTAACTGGGCATTTGAATCTAGTAGCATGGTAACTCTGGTAATTAGATTCTCCCAATTTCCCAGAATTTAGTGTTTTTTTTTTTTTTTTACTGTTTTTGTTTATTGTTATTATTATTTTTGTTGTTGTTGTAGGCTATCTCTGTTCTAAGGATTAACCTGAAATATAAATTTAAGGTCTTCTCAGGTATTTTCTGAGTTTTTCCCTGGGCATGCACAATTACTTTCTAATTTCTTTTGTATATGAAGTTGTTTTTGAATGTCTGGCTTCCAAAAGGGGAGAAAGAGAAAAATGAAGGGAGAAAAAAGAGCACTGGCCCTTTACCTTCCTTGGAAGTTACTTCAGCTAGTGGGGAGGAGCTTGCCACAATGGGGATAGGCACAACAACAATGGATGCCCACCTCTTTGTCTGTACCTCAGTGAGCAGAAGCAGCAATCAACGATCCATCAGAGCAAAGATCTCTAATATCTGGAAGTCAGGGTCCTTTTTGCCAACCCTGACTCTTACAAGCTATGTACAGATTGTTCCAAAAACATGTGCACATTTGCCGGTTACAGAGCTGGGATTGGGGATGGGTAGATGGTGCTGTGTTCAGAGTACTGAAATCAGCTACAGTTTATTGTTCAAGCCTTTTCCTGGAAGTTGCAAGCCTTCAATATATCCTAGTGTCTCCAAATTGTTACATCACATTGATTGCCAGCTCGATTGTTGACTAAGTAGAGAAACAGATTCCTTGTGCTTCCTACTCTATCATTTTTCTCGAATCCTCTTTCCACAGTTGTTTCGATAGAGTGATGCCCATCCTTTTTTCTTGCATTATAGTCCACAGACAAGAAACTGAAAATCTGCCCAGATCCAAATCTTTAGCAGAATCAGCCCATGCCATCATTGTCCCCTTGATAGGTGGAGACATCAAGCACATTGCCTAGCACTATCAGGAAATCTGCACAGTTCTGGGTCAGTGGTTGCTAATCATCTCTCTATAGTCCATGCAAGACATGGGAGTAGAACATGTAATAAAAATACTTTCTTTCAAATCTGGAAGTTAGCATTTTGATGTATCAGAAAGCAGAGGAAACTCTAGAAAATGCTGGTGAATTTCTTTTGGAGTGATGCTAGTATTTTTCTGGGACATGTATGATACTAATGAACACAGGAATCGGTATTCTATCACCATCCTTGCGAGCAGCATGGGAAGTGTTATCTGTGGGTAGTATAACTTTCAATCCTGTGTCTTAGTCATCTGGGCTGCTATAAACTGCGGAGCTTAACAGTAATTTATCTCTTACTGTTCTGGAGGTGGAGAAGTCCAAGATCAAGTTATCTGTAGATTCAGTGTCTGGTGAAGGCCTATTTCCTGGGTTATGAAGGCTGCTTTCTCACTGTGTCTTCCCACAGTAAAAAGGGCAAACAAGCTCTCTTGGGGCTTACTTAGCTATTTATGAGGGCTTACTGATTCCCAAAAGGCCCCACCTCCCAATGCCATCACCTTGTGGTTAGGATTTTAGCCTATGAATTTGGGGTGGGAAAACATAAACATCAAGGCCACGTTGTCTTGTCTCAATTTTCTATCCTAAGCCCTTTATCATATGGGCAATTAAAGTCCCAGAAAACTGAGAGCCTCCAGAAATTTTGTTTTAGTATCATTCCCATTTAGCAGTTCTCAGGTGTTGAGCCAAACCTAGGGATGTGAATCTTTGGGTGTACACATATTCTAGGAACTATTGAAAATTATATCCTGAATTGGCCAAGTTAAATAGACTGAAGCTAGGCTACAAAATCCACATAGGCCTAGATGAGCAGAGATAATCAAGTTGTGCAGGTAGACAGTGTAGATGATGAAGAAAGCCAGTGCATAGGAAGGGCAGAAGCAGAAATCTGGAGGAAACTTTAGAATCCACATGTTCATGGAAGCATTTTATTTGGTGCTTATGACCACTGATATAAAAAAGCCAAAGCAAAATGAATGTGCAACTCCAGCTTCAGTAATATCAGGCCTTTTCAATTCTACATGCTTATTATCTTGCAAATGTACCCCTCTCCCTGCCATGCAGTTGGTTCCTAAGTCTGAGGGAATCTACCTCTTAAATACTTAATCTATTTCTCTGATGACCAGAGTAATCTATCTAAAAAAAAATTTGATAGTTAACCTTTTTACTTAAGTGCTTCAATGCCTCCCATTTCCTTCAGGCTTAAATATTAAAATCTAAGGCAATATGTAAGACTACTTATGATTTTGTCCCCTGCTTATTTTTTCTTACTCATCTATCACCATTTCCCCTTCCTCTCTAGCCACAATGATTTACTGGTAGTTCCTACATTATGCCATTCTTATACATTCCCATGTGACTCAGTTTCTCTGGATGTCATCTGGAATGTTCTATTCTTGTCTGTCTGGCAAGCTTCTAGTCCTCTAAGACGTTCTGTCTCTCTAAAGTCTTTACTGACCTACCCAGACAGAGTTGAATGCCCCTTCCTCAGGACTTCTTTGATCTCTGGCACATAGCTCTATTTTAGCACTCATTGAATGGTAATGCTTTGAAAGTCTGAGTGTTTCTAGAGAGCATGGACCATGTCTAATTTACTTCTTTGCCTTCAGAACCTGGAATAGTTTTTGATACATTGTAGGATCCCAAATTGGCTTTGAATAAACAGCATATTTTTTGTTTAAAAGCAGAAGGAACTTGTCAACAAGTTCATGTTGTTGATAATCTCTTGGATTCAAGATTTGATGTCTGAGGTATATGATGTTAAAGTATTATTGAACATCTATCCTAAGCCAGACATGGGAAAACAATGATCGACAAAAATAAATATGTGCTTTACTACTTTCACAAGTTGAGAATTCATCGGGGAAACTTCCTACTGTTGTAGAAATTATTAAATAAAATATAACATCTTTCAGGTTTGGCCCATGATAATAGTCTGAGATTGTCGCTAACATGAGCCTTCCTGAAATATGTCAAAGCCTTTGCCTGTTGGACTACTTTCATTTCTTATATGCTGCAGGCTCACCTCTTGTTCTCCAGCATAAAAACCATTTTGGTTGATAAACACAACAAATTAAAAATCAAACATGCAAAATAGTAAAACATTTTGTTTTAGTCCAAGCAAAACTTTGTCTTCAGAAATCTGTGGAGGGTTGGGATACATGAGTAACTTTACAGTTTACCAAGTGCTTTTGTATTTATAGTGGTGTTTGGTTTTGCTTATAGGAAAACTAAAGGGATGTTGGGGAAGCATTCAAGAGTCAACAAAACAGAATCATCATCTTAGGCTGGAGGGACTATGTTTTTAGGCAGTAAGAGGTTACTGAAATGTACCCAAGCAAGTAAGGGTCATAATCTCTGCCCACAGCCAATAAGACGTAAACTTCTTTTTTTTTTTTTTTTTTTTTTTTTTGAGACGGAGTTTCGCTCTTGTTACCCAGGCTGGAGTGCAATGGCGCGATCCCGGCTCACTGCAACCTCTGCCTCTTGGATTCAGGCAATTCTCCTGCCTCAGCCTCCTGAGTAGCTGGGATTACAGGCACGCGCCACCATGCCCAGCTAATTTTTTGTATTTTTAGCAGAGACAGGGTTTCACCGTGTTGACCAGGTTAGTCTCGATCTCTTGACCTCGTGATCCACCCACCTCGGCCTCCCAAAGTGCTGGGATTACAGGTGTGAGCCACCGTGCCCGGCCTTAAGACGTAAACTTCTATCTCAGGCCATGTGACTAGAGGAATGAAAGAGGCTCCCAGATCTTGGCATTTTGAAAATGGAAAAGGAAAACAAACAAAAAGTATATTCCTGTGAAAATCAGATATCAGAAAATTCAAACAAGCACGCTCTAGGTTCCTACTGTCTTGAGCTCTCCAGAGGGTTATATTCTGCTTCCTTCTCATTTAGGGTTAGCTAAAAAGAAGGGCAGACTTGGAATTAGGAAGAGCAAAGATGTATAGTTAAGTCCATTCAAAGGCATAACATTCAGCATCACAGGGGACATTCTTTTTAAAATATTGCTTGAGACAGGCGTTTATCTTAATTGAATTTGGCTATACTTGTTTCCCTCCAGCCCCTCAGCTGGAGGTGGTAACTAGGAATTGCTGCTAGAGAAGCAGTTTCTTCCTTTTAAGTGAAATGCTGCTATGGCAAAGACATGCTACTACAAGGGTTAAACTTTAAAACACTCGTTTTGATATTTTATTTATTATTGTTATTTTTGTGATGGAGTCTTACTCTATTGCCAGGCTGGAGTGCAGTGGTGCGATCTTGGCTCACTGCAACCTCCATCTCCTGAGTTCAAGGGATTCTCCTGCCTCAGCCTCCCGAGTATCTGGGACTACACGTGCACACCACCATGACCAATATGGTGAAACCCTGCCTCTACTAAAAATACAAAAATTAGCCAGGCATCATAGCACACACCTGTAGTCCCAGCTGCACTTAAGATAGAGAACCCAAAGTTTTGTACCTGGTTATTTTGCACTGAAGTTTGTAGATGAAATGTGTCATTATAATAGCTTTCCTGAGGCTGTATTTAATGGGCAAAACAGTGGCCCCAGAGGGGTCTTAGGCCAAAGCCCAAACTCTCTTTTGGAAACTACTCTGTTAGAAAGTCAAAGCAGATTTCTGCTTAAGCTTGAAAGAGTTTTTTTTTTTTTTTTTTTTTTTTTTCGCCTTCCCCATTTTCTTCCTTCCCTCAGTCTCAGACAAAGTCACCTTGAAAGCTCCACTTGACCTACAAGTTTTATTTTAAAAAGATGATCAAGGAAACTTCATCTTCTCTGAGACCCAGAAAAAGGGGAAAATAGTAGTAGTGCACTAATTGTTACACTATTAATATAGCTTTTGTAAATCTTGTTAGTTTTCAAAGCTCTGGGCTAAGCAAACAACAGCATCAGTTTAGGAAATTGTTACTACTTTGGACACAAACTGAAATTGCAGCTTTGCCTTGTGCTTTGTTTATAATTTCTTTGTATATCAAAACAAGCCGGGCGCGGTGGCTCACTCCTGTAATCCCAGCACTTTGGGAGGCCGAGGCGGTTGGATCACGAGGTCAGGAGATCGACACCATCCTGGCCAGCATAGTGAAACGCTGTCTCTCCTAAAGTAAAAAAGGTTAGCCGGGCGGTTGAGTTGATGGCCTGGCCTATGGAGTAGATGTGATAGCTCATGGGGTTCACTTCCAGGTGGTGGGAGTGGGGAGCCAGGTGGGTCAGGGTTGTGTAGATGGGACTTACGGCGCAAAGCATGATGCCCCAGAATCTATGCTCAACTGTGGCGCAACCCATGCTGGGGGCATTTTGGCATCGCGAGGACCTTGTGAGGTAGGCAGTGCAGAGATTATTTCGAAAGGAGAGGAATTTCTCCTGACACGGTGACAAGCCCTGGCCTTCAAACCAAAGCGTCAGGCATCTGTTTTCCACCACACCAGCGGTTTTCCAACACTTGAAAATCATTTAAACATCATTGTGCTAACAGAAATTTATGAAAAGGCTCGGTACATTAAACAAATATATAACTGCACCAGAGTTTGGGAGGGAGTTCAGAGTTCCTAGGCTTGTCTTCTTTCCATCTTCCAACCCCAGGTTTCCACAAGGGTCTGGAGAAACTCCTAGCACCACATTTAAAGTGAATTTGAAGGTTCCACAGAATTCTGAGTCCAGTAGTGATCTGCTCCCGGTGAAGTATCAATCGTGCCAGAGAACGGGAATGGCAGAACTTGAATAGTGAGCATGACCAGTTACAATTGTCTGTTATTTTGGGGAGGGAGAAGGAAAATTAGTAAACCTGTAATGGTTTTTCAAATTTAAGCTTAATAAAAGCAAAGACTATTGTAGTTTTGAGGATTTAGGGGGAAAGGATAAGACATTTGTAAATGGACAGAGCATGAGTTTTCAATTTTGCAGTTGCATTTTCTTTATCCACCGCTGCCTCCCTTCACATTTCTGGAAGTATGTCTGCCCACATTCAAGGTTACCAATTGTGGGAGATAGTCTGCACAGTAAGGTAGAACTAGTTAGATAGGATCTATTAAAGTGCGGATCCACTCCTGTCCCCCGCCACCCCCCACCCTGATTAATTCTGCCCACAGTAGACTTATGCAGTGGAAAAATCAGGACGATAACCCAGTGATGTATTGTGGTCAGGTTTCACTTAGCTCATTGTATGGCTGCCCATTCTCAGCGAATATTCTTGAGCAAGTCTTAGCTTCTAGTGATTTTGTTGGATATTCTGGTAGTTCTTACGATCATGATCTTGTGGAACATAATTTGATCCTCAGCAAATTTCAGCAGTTTGCCATACTCATGCCTATGTGGTTACAATGAAGCATCCAGCTGTGCATTCAAACTAACTTCAGCCCTCCTTTGGGTTTACATTGTTTAGTAGTGTTTATTATTGTCTTGTTCTGAATGGTGTATTTTCCTAGGTTAAAAAAAAAAAAGAGAATTGTTCTTGCTATGAACACGAATGCTGATGGAAGATTTGGCTAGATGTTTAAAGGCCTGAAAAGCGCAGCAAGAACTCCCTAAAAACCAAGTTGTTCCAGAGGGTAGACTTTTCCTCCATTGTCTTAGAAATACTAGTGGTTTCAGGAGAATTCTCAGACTCTGAATTAGAACTCTCTTTCAAACTTGAGACTGAAGGGTAAAGAAATCCCTAAATCATGCTGAATAACATGGGACACACATTGTCTGTTCCAAGTTGAGATTCCAAATTACCAAATCTGAATTTGCACTTGATTTTACTTCTCTATATTATTTCAGTCACCAACCTTGGTGCCTATTTTCTTTATATACTTCTTCATCCTTCAATGTAAAATATGAAATATTTTGTGTATTTTTATTTATTTATTTTGCAATCTCGGCTCACTGCAACCTCCACCCCCTGAGTTCAAGCAATTCTCCTGCCTCAGCCTCCCAAGTAGCTGGGATTACAGGCATGTGCCACCACGCCCAGCTAATGTTTGTATTTTTAGTATGGATGGGGTTTCACCATGTTGACCAGGATGGTCTTCATCTCTTGACCTCGTGATCTGCCCGCCTTGGCCTCCCAAAGTGCTGGGATGACAGGCATGAGCCACTGCGCCTGACCTGAAATCTGTTGTTAAGCCTTAGTTCCTTTTGATAGAGTAATGGTTTTTCCTCATAGCAAAACTGAACTGACCTCTTTTCAGACACTTGTTTTCCATATCCCACATCAAGACATACCCTCTCATTCAAATAGGAAAAGAAGTCAAATTATTTCTTTGCAGATGATATGATTCTATATCTAGACAACCCTAAAGACTCCACCAAAAGGCTCCTGGAACTGATAATTGACTTCAATAAAATTTCAGGATATAAAATCAGTAGCATTTCTATATATCAATAATGTTCAACTAATAACCAAATCAAGAATGCAGTTTCATTTACAATAGTCACACACACACACAAAATACCTAAGACTACATCTAACCAATGAGATGAAAGAGCTCTACAAGGAGAACTACAAAACACTGCCAAAAGAAATTGTAGATGATACAAACAAATGGCAGACATTACATGCTCATGGACTGGAAGAATCAAAATTGTTAAAATGGCCATACTGCCCAAAGCAGTGTATGGATTCAATGTCATTCCTTTCAAACTATCACTGTTATTTTTCACAAAACTAGAAAAAAAAAAAAAAAAACTATTCTAAAAATCACATGGAACCCACCCCCCCGCCACCCCCCCAAAAAAAAGCCTGAGAAGCCAAAACAACCCTAACCAGAAAGAGCAAAGCTGGAGGCATCACATTACCTGACTTCAAACTGTATTACTATACCGAGGCTACAGGAGTCAAAACAGCATGGTACTGGTACACGTAGACTAGTGGAACAGACATGTAGACACTGGAACAGAATAGAGACTCAGAAATAAAGCTACACACCTATAGCCATCTGATCTTTGACAAAGTCAACAAAAATAAGCAACAGGGAAAGGATTCCTGATTTAATAAATGGTGCTGAGATAGGTGGCTAGCTATATAGAGAATAAAACTGGACTCCTACCTGTCACCATATACAAAAACTAACTCAAGATGGATTAAAGGTTTAAATATAAACCTCACACCATTAAGAATCTTAGAAGAAAGCCTAGGAAACATCATTCTGGACATTAGTCTTGGGAAAGAATTTATGACTAAGTCCCCCAAAGCAATCTCAACAAAAACAAACATTGATGAGTGGGACCTAACTAAAGAGCTTCTTCTGCGCAGCAAAAGAAACTATTAATAGAGTAAGCAGACAACCTAAAGAATGGGAGAAAATATTCACAAACTATGCATCTGACAAAGGTCTAGTATCCAGAATCCATATGGAACTTAAACAGTTGAACAAGCAAAAACCAAATAACTCCATTTAAAAATGGGCAAAATACATGAACAGACACTTTTCAGAAGAAGACATACAAGTGGCCAATAAACATGAAAAAACGTTCCACATCACTAATCATCAGAGAAATGCAAATCAAAACTGTAATGAGATAACATTCCACACCTGTCAGAATGGCTATTCTTAAAAAGTCAAAAAAACAATATGTTAAGAAGGCTGCAGAGAAAATGGAATGCTTATACACAGGTGGTGGGAATGTAAATTCAGCTACTGTGGAAAACAGTTTATAGATTTCTTAAATAACTTAAAACAGATCTGCCATTAATCCAGCAATCCCATTACTAGGTATATATGCAAAAGAAAATCATCCTACTGAAAAGATACATGCACTCATATGTTCATCGCAGCATTGTTCACAATAGCAAAGACATGGAATCGACTTAGGTGCCCATCAATAGTGGATTGGATAAAGAAAATGTGGTACATACACAGTATGGAATACTACATAGGCATAAAAAAGAATGAAATCATGTCCTTTCCAGCAACATGGATGGAGTTGGAGGCCATTATCCTAAGTGAATTAATGCAGGAATAGAAAACCAAATACCACATATGCTCACTTGTAAGTGGGAGCTAAACATTGGAT